TTATTATTATATATATATATATATATATATATATATATATATATATATATTTAATTAATGTTCATTTTCTCCATCTACACTCCCTTTTTTCTATTCCGCTGGTTTATTTTTATATGAGTAAGTTTGATTTGATACAGAGTTTAAGAAATAAAGAAAGAGTTTTGAAATTTATGGTCTGAAATAAGTGATATATGTTTGTGTGACTATAAATCATTTCATTAAGAATAAAATGAGTATTTTAAAGTTAAATTATTGTCATTCTTTTTGGGATTAGTACTAAAAATAAAAATGAGTCGTATAAATTGAGACAGTAAAGGAGTACTTATTAAAACCACCACAAGCTCCAAAGAAACTTTTGGTTGCGTCAAAGTTAGGGTTAATTTTTATCACTGATTAACTAATAGGTATTATTTCAGAAAGTTATATTTCATTTTTTATTGCGATTAATGTTTTTGTTTTTATTTTATGTTGTAGCTTTGCTTTGATTTAATTCAAGAATGGGTGGTGAACAATCAAAAATCCTCTATTTGTACTGCTGGAGGATGTGAAGAATTCAAGGAAATTGCAATTTATCAAGACTACCATGGTTTGCCAGAATTTCGAAGGGTAAGAACCTAAATCTAAAATATCGAAATTATTACTCTCTTCGTTTTAATTTGTCTCATTTTCCTTTTTATGTTGTGTTACATATATACATAGAGAGAGAGGAGTATGTCATGGCAAGCAACAATAAAGTTATCTCTGTGTGATCTATAGGTTACATATTCAAGCTATACTGAAAGTAATTAACCACTAATATTTGCATTAGAGTAAATTGGGTTAAACCAGGGCGGAAACAACACATACTTAGCGGTTCATCCGAACCCACTCGAAGGATAATATTTACTATTTATTTATGGTTAAAATTATTTTTTAGGTATATATAATAGATGTTGAATCCCCTTGCATTAGTTCGTGTGTTTACTTCTCAGATTTTGAACCCTCTTCCATTCACTACAATAAAAATAACCATTAGCGGTATTTTAATTCTTAATTGCCGCTAAATATGTAACTTTAGCGGCAATTGTCACTCTTTGTATATGTCCCTAAAACCTTTAGCGATATTGGTTCTAATGACACTTAACTAATGCCAGTAAAGACTTTAACACTCTTTATTTAGTGTCAATATTTAATGTCGCTAAAAGTTGTTTTTGTTGTAATGATTAGTTCGCGTGCTTACTTCTCATATTTTAAACGCCCTTATTAAAAATCCTGATTCCGCCATTGAGTTTGCAACCTTTCCTTGAATCCTGCTAACACAGATTACTTTGTGCACCAGATTATCACAATATTCAAATGTCATTTGAGTACGAAAAGTCTTTTTCTTACTTTTTTTTTAAACTTTCGTATTCTGTCAAACTAAAACACATAAAATATAACGATGAATGAAATATGTGCAGGGAGTTGCAAGTTTCATGTCAAAAGTGAGAGGAGACAAAATTAAATTTGATGAAGAACGTATAGTAATGAGTGGAGGGGCAACTGGAGCTCATGAATTACTTGCTTTTTGCTTGGCTGATCCTGGAGAGGCTTTTCTTGTTCCTACTCCCTATTATCCTGGGTAACTATTTTTATAGTTTAAAATCGCGATTCGATATTGATCCGTACCTTATAAATTAAGATTTAAAAATGAAATAAAAATAGGGGACATAAAATCGAACCTCCTTAGAAACTATACGTGATCGTAGTGGGCTGTGTGTGTCAAACAATTATATGAATCTATTAATATAATATAATATGATATAGAGATCTATTATATTTTATTTATTCACCTCAAACCCTAATTTTTTACAATAATAAAAGTAAAATAAAATAAAGTAAAGATCACAAAAAACATATATATATTGTGAATAAGTCATGAATACTTTAATTATACTCCTTTGGTTCCTTTTTTACTTGTTCAATTTTAAATTTTTTATTTGTTTCATTTTATTTGTCATTTTTGATAAATTAAGAAAAGATAATATTTTTTTTTATCTATTATAGTATTATACCCTCAATTTATTTAGAGAGTTAATATTGTTGAAAAAGGTAGAACCTCTTTAATAAGTAAATTGATTTTGGAATTCTATCAATTAATAGAGGTAAAATAGTAAACTCACGTTGTTAATTATTATTTTTTCTTAATAGGTGTGCCAAGTAAAAAACGAATAAATAATTAGGGACCGAGTGAGTCTGAAACTACGAATTGATATTGGAAATTATCGTATGGTAAAAAATAATGTTTTCTACATTCTAATTTGGTTGGTAACTTTTTGTTTCTTCTAATTCCATAAAATATTGACAACATTCGATCAAACTATCAATCATCAATAATGTGAAAGTTCAGATAGTCAACATTTTTCAAAATTTTTGTTTTATTTTTTTCCAAAATATTCGACTAAGTGACTGTTTTGTTACTAGATTCTCAACAAATATTTCTAATTCTTACTAAAGTATTTTCAAATATTTAATTTGCAGATTTGATAGAGATTTGAGTTGGAGAACTGGTGTACAACTTTTTCCAATAATTTGTGAAAGTTGCAACAATTTCAAAGTCACAAAAAAAGCCTTAGAAGATGCATACAACAAAGCTCAACAATCCAATATCACAATAAAAGGCTTACTTTTAAACAATCCATCAAATCCATTAGGCACAATTTTAGACATGGAAGCATTAAAAGATACAATAAGGTTCATCAACGATAAAAATATCCACCTAATATGTGACGAAATTTACGCGGCCACGGTCTTCAACGTGCCCAAATTCATAAGTATTTCCGAAATTATAATAAGTGAAGATGTTCAATGCAACCTCGATTTAATACACATCGTGTATAGTCTATCGAAGGATTTAGGGTTTCCAGGATTTAGAGTCGGAATTATCTACTCGTACAATGATGTTGTAACGAAATGTGCTAGAAAAATGTCGAGTTTTGGGCTTGTATCGACGCAAACGCAGTATTTAATATCTAACATGTTGTTAGACGATACGTTTATCGAGAAATTCGTAGTTGAGAGTCGTGAAAGATTGGAGAAAAGGCATGGGGTGTTTACTAAAGGACTTGAAAATATTGGAATTAACACGTTGGAGAGTAACGCTGGGCTTTTTTGTTGGATGGATTTGAGAAGTTTACTTGAAAAAAATACATTTGAAAGTGAAATTAAATTATGGAGAATGATTATTAATGATGTTAAACTTAATGTTTCACCAGGTTGTTCATTTCATTGTTGTGAGCCTGGTTGGTTTAGGGTTTGTTTTGCTAATATGGATGATGATACTATGAGGATTGCATTAAGGAGGATTGAGATTTTTGTGGTTCAATACAAAGGGATTAATAATATAATTGAAGAAGGAATCGGCGAATCTCTTCCTATCACGCCTGGTCCAGTATCTCTTAGGTCGATATATGAGAAGATCGATAGAAGAAGGTAACCAACTAGAAGAATTGCTCATTTAATGTAACATCAATGTCTACTACTTTTGAGGAATGGATATATTTATTTGGCTTCACAATTTATCAAACTATCATTTGAACTTTTTTTTTTTTCAGATCTCTACTTTATATAATATAATGTTTATAAATGAAATCTTCATCCATAGATTCACTACTTTATTGAGGGTGTATAAAATTATTACCAATATTTTTCAAAAATATGTTGTTCTTTCTCTTTTTCTTGTCCTATACCCAAGCTCTTATATTAGCTTTGCCATTTTGTCACTTGTATCTAACATACAACAAATTTCACGTATAGCAAATACAAAATTCATAATTATATGCTATAATTATAGTTTGCATAATTGTGGTCCATAGCAAATATGTTATGATTATTTTCGCTATACATATATACAAAGAAGCTAGGCTATTTCGCTATACGTATATACAAAAGATGCAATTGCGTAATTTGCTGACTCCTCTTCAGATTTGTATAATTTCGCTGGCAGACCATTTGTATAAATTGTTGGCAGCCTCTCGTTTGTATAAATTGATTGCAACCGCTCAATTCGATTTTACGTGTTTGTATATCTATATAAAATATAAATTTGTATGCAATTGAATCGAAATAAAATGTTTATATATTAAATACCACTCTCTCTCTCTCTCATCTCTCACTTTATATTATACATTGTTTTCTGTATAATCTGTGTTTATATAAAGCGATAAAGAGAGAAAGGAAAAAGAGAACTGGGCAAGGAAATATTTGTATTGTATAATTATAAGTGTATAGAACGAAGATATATGTATTTGCATGTCTATATATAATTTTCTCTCATTTTATATAAACAGAAACACAATTTTTACATTTCTAATTGTATAAAGCGAGAGAAGCGAGCGAGACAGGGAGAGTGGCGAGCGAGAGTTTGAGGGAGAGAGGCGACTGACAAACAGTTTGCTACAGGCACAATTAAATCAAAATGTGATTATAACATTTAATTTGAATCATTAGTTTGCCATTATATAGAATTTTCCTTTTAATCAATTAATCAGACATATAAATCATATTTAATCAAACATTGACGTATAAATTTGATCATCCTTCAATGAGCAAATTCAAAAACATGATCTCACGTGAAACAAGATTGATTAATTTTACATACCCTTTCTTTAATTTAAAAAGAAAAACAAAAACTTCACATACTTTATTTTACTCACAAAAAAAAAAATGTACATGTTGATATACAAATGGTATAATTAACATACACTTTCTTTAATGTAGAAAGAAAAACAAACTTCACATACTTTATTTTACTCACAAAAAAAATGTACATGTTGGTATACAATTGGTATAATTACTCCTAAGCAAATGATCATACAATTGTAACTCTCTTCTTATTGTCTTAAATACTTTATAATAAATTGCACCAATTTGGTTGTAAATCCAACAAAGATGATTATTGATGTCCAAAGCTTTTTGTACCATACAAAAATTGGACTTATTAGTGGTTGCACAATAAACTTGTAACTATTTAGTAATACTTGATATGCAACTTGATGATTCTTTACAAATCCTACAAGGAACCAAAAAAAAATCAAAATTTTAAATTTATATTTAATTTTAAAATATGGAAAAATAAAAAAATAGAAGAAATTAACATACTCGAGACAATTTCAGGGAATTCATCGAATATTGAAGTTATCATATTGTAGAACGCCTGTTTTTGATCAGGACAGAAAAAAACACGTGTTATTAATAATCTATTCAGAACTTATCGCGCAAAACGATATAATTAGTAAAAGTGGTGGTAGACATACCAAAATTTTTGGTTTCATTGATGATTCTGTAATGACTTGAGCATTCCTGCATACGTCATATGTTGTTCAGTAATTATGCTTGTGTTTATTATAAAGTGTATAATTAAGAAGCATAATGAGGATTAATATTTTACTTAATGAGTAGTTTTTCTCCATCTCTTGATAATTCATAGTAGCTGCAGCCTCTACTAAAGGGTACTTCTTTTTTCTTCCACTCTGAAATAACAAGTAACAAGCATAATATATAAACGTGTTCTTTTAATTTGACTTCAATTGATATTTACGCCCTTCAAAACTTGTATAAGATTGAACAAGTAAACACATGCATTCTGCGTGGTGTCCAATGTATACTATGCTACGAAAACGCATATGTTTACTCATTTAATTTTATATAAATTTACGTGTTTACTTGTAAATGTTCAAAGTTGATAGGCACGATTATCTATTATGTCTTTTAGAAATGAGTCGTTAAAGTTTTTAAAAATGCAATTCTAGTTAACTTAAAAAGTAGTGATTACCTAAATGCCAGTTTACTATTGCTGTAAGATCAACACCTTCATGAATATTGTCTATACTGAACTCTGTGTTTTGGTCCATGCTTGTGGTTAGTTGCTCCAGAGATTTTAAAGCCTCCTGCATAAATTTGCAAATGGAGCTGAAAGAATCAGATTATGCAGTGGTGGAGCCACGGAAATCGAAGGGTGATCAGTTGGACATCCTTCTACACATTTCTAGTTACTGTTTCAGATAAATCAAAAGCTTTAGCTAGAACTCTGTAATTGTGTTAAATATCCACTTAATATGTATAAATAATGGAAAACTTATATAAATCTCTCACTAGTTTAGGAGCTAATACCCTCAAATATGCAATATTCTGAATCTTATCAGAATTTGATGCATCTTTATACATCCAGATACATGTATATCGGGATATCAGGGGTCAAAATTTGGTGTAATATTTTAGATATACTATGTCTATATGGATTTGCATATGCATGTATCTGAGATACATAAAAAAATTCACTCGCCTCCCTCCCATCTCGCTCACCACTCTTTCTATATATTTGGTATTTCAGATACAAGCGAATCACCTCAGATATACATGCATATACATGTATCAAGTGTGTATCTAGTGTAATTCGCATGTCTACGAAATAGATGACTATCTTGCTCGCCTCCCTCCCCATTTCGCTTGTCTCTCTCCCTATTTATAGTATATTTGAAAGCAAAAATACATGTATCTATGTGTATCTTCCTTAATATATTGTAGAAAACTCTTAATTGATGATAAATTACATTACATGATAGTGAAGTATATCTAATTAGGTACTTTCTCCGGCTTCTATTTTGGCCCATCACCTAAGGGCTAACCAAAATACACGAAATATACAAATTGGTTTCATATATATAATATATATATTCGTAACTTCACCAAGTGGATTAAAAGTGTAATTCAATTTATATTATCAAAAAAAAAGTGCAAACCTTTTTCCCATGAAATGATTGAGGGAATGAAAAATCATCAAAGAAACAATCTTCAGATATGAGCAAGGCCAATTGGTTGAAGTCCTTGTTATTTATACTCGAGTACAACTTTCTAATTGTGTTGGATGGTGAAAATGAGCTTGTGTCAACATTAGGATTGACCATCGAACAATGCGCGATCAAGGACCTCTTTCTGCTCTTGATACTTCTTATCTTGATTCTTTGCTCATGTAGTTTGGTGTTTTTCGCGTTATGAGCTTTCAATAGAGGAATGTTTTCGCGATACCTAAAATCTTGCGTGGACGATAAACTTTGCCAGCTAACTTGGCTTGAAAATGCCATGAAAATAGATAATAGAGTTGCAAGAAAGATCAAATAATTTTTATAGATGCAATGCCTTAGCAAGGAGAAAAGGAATCAATGAAGCTTTTCTTAATAATGTTGTAAAATAATGTTCTATGCCTTGCTTTAAAATTAGGATACAACTCAGAGCATGTATTGCAATCTTAAGGGTAGAGGAAATAGAATCGTTGCTAGTAAAGTGAAAGTTCAGATAGTCAATCAACTGAACTATTAATAGAATCGTTGCTAATAAGGTGAAAGTTCAGATAGTCAATCAACTGAACTATTAATAATGTATGTTGTAAGGCAAACCCACCATTCTTACGTTGAATATATACATTTATGTAAAAATTATTAAAATTTCAACATATATTATAAGTTGAACCTATAGTTCCAAAAGTGCAATAGATTAAATAATAAGACTTTAAAGGTCGAACATATTAAGTTTTGATATTTTTTATCTGACTATTTATTTTCAGAATGACAATGTACCATATTAAAAGTTATTATGATTATTTGATATATCCTTAATTTACGATAAAAATTTTAAAAATTTATTTAAGAAAATAAAAAAAAAATTGGATCTAGTTATTTTAAGCTAACGATGTATAAAATGTATTAAAATATTTTTTAATCGTATAATTTTGAATATGTCACAAGTTAGAATTAAAGAATTTTCAAAATATTAATAAAATTAATTTACATATATATATATATATATATATATATATAAACAAATTTAACAGAGAAAAGCACTAAAAAGAAAAAGAGGAGGAAATTAAAAAAAATGAACTAATGACAGGCAGACAATTTTATAGCATATTAAGTTCTCCTAAATTCAGCAGAATAATTTGTAATGCTTTTTCAAATGATCAATTAAATTGTGAAGCTGGAAGAATTAAATATATCAATGTTGAGATTGTTGCACATAGTAGAAATTACTGTATATAATGTGTTAAAAAAATTATGGAAAATAAAAATCAGTTTAATATAGTTCACTGATACTACGATAAAAATAACTTTTAGCAGTAATAAATAAACACATTATTAAATAATGCTAAAGTTTTTAATGATATTTAGCGACAATTGAAAATTTATAGGAGTGTTTGTTTAAAACAATTGAAAGGATTTAGTCCTGTGAGAATTTGTAGGAGTATACTAAATATTAGCAAAAATGTTTGAAAATATTTAGTCCTCTGAGAATTTATAGGTGTATACTATATATTAGCAAAAATAGTGAAAGGATTTAGTCCTCTGAGAATTTGTAGGAGTATCCCTAAATATTCTCTCTCTTTTTTTTTTCTTTTCTATCTATGTTTTTTCATAACATTGTTAATAATTTAATAACTAAAAAATATATTTTAAAAAGAAAAAAGAAGAAGCAATTCGACCGTATTTGAGAAATAATCTGCCAAAACATATTCATGATATCAATCCTTTTGAAATCATGTATATTATTAGGAAATATGTATTTTCAGAAATTTTTTTTCCAAAAAAAAAAATTTGCAACTATATCTTAAATCTTTTGTTGCAATAGTACAAGTGTACAACATTGTTCTAGAAAAAAAAAGTGCAAGTTATTGCATAATTATTGATTATACAATTTTAGGCCTTTATGGACCGTTTATATATATATTTAGACGTCAAAATTACATATATAACTAAAAATGCTTCATAGCTCATTTTGATCTTTGAAAATTATTATAGATCACGTGTGCGGTGAATAAAGTTATTTATTTCTTTATAGGTTTCGAGTTTGAGTACTGAATATGAAAATATTGTAAATATCAAATATTTTTCTGAATGAAACTTTATGCGATGCAAATTTAAAATAGTTAAATTACAATATGAATACACCCATAAGATAGAATTCAATTATTTTTTTATAATTTATCACCCTATACACGCCATTTCAATTAAAAATTCTTAAACATTGGGTCATGTGTATATTTTAAAACTAAGTTCACATATAAAAAAAAAAGTATATTGATTATACAACAAATTATATCAAAAAGATTTTTCTACATATATATGCCTACTGCCTACATAAGTATATAATTCTATTAACTTTTTAATATATTTTTTAGAAAAAAGGAGAAAATAAAATTTTAACTATTATTGGCATTTCTTTTTCTTATTAACTAAACTAGACGAAACTTTTGGTATATATGTAATATACATATTATATAGAAATAGTTAAATAATGAATAAAGCCAAATCACCGACGCAGTGGACCAATACACAGAACTACGTGTCTTGTATAACGAGCTTTTGTGTATCTAAGCACAAAAATAAACAGTGACTCTTTTCTGTGAAAAAAGATAAAGACCAGAATTTTATCATCTAACATTTAAAAAAAAAATATATATATATATATATATATATATTTATGTATTTAGTAACACATAGTACAAAAATTAATTTGCACAGCTAATACATTTATTTATTTTTAATTACAAAAACATTGTATTAATGTAACATAACCACCCACCTTCATTTTCTCTACTACCACTGCTAATAAATTACAAACAGAATTGCAAGCTATATTTTCTGTTTGGTTTACAGATCTAACAAATATATCTGAAAAGTCTGATGACAGTAGAAATTGTTGCCGACATTATTGGGATATTTTCTTATTAACAGTCTCTACCTTCACTTCACTTCACTTCACAGCCATAGCCATTTGTAATTTGGTAACAACTTTTTCCTCTTTTTTTTCTTCTTCTGGGTTTTGTGCATTTTTCTCTGTAGTGAGTTAAAAATGTGCATGAAAGAAAGAGAAAAAATCATCTGGGATCAAATGCGAATAACGCCATTTTCGATTTTCACTTTGCCCAAATTCATGATATGGTTAATAGTTTTCGTATTATTCATTTATGTTTTCACCACTCAAAAATACCTTTCTTCTACATCTTGTAACGACATTTTTATCACAAGTAGCAATATTATTTTACCAATTAACTCAAAAACCAACTCAACAATCTCTTCAAATACTTCAATTATTGATCAACAAACACGAATTTTACAAGAAGAAGTTGAAAAAACTAATATAGAGCATGTAGTGTTTGGAATTGCAGCTTCATCTAAGCTTTGGAACAAAAGGAAAGAATATATTAAGCTATGGTGGAAGCCTGAGAAGAAAATGAGAGGTGTTGTTTGGTTAGATAATTCCGTTAAAACGGAGAAAAATGAAAGTAATTCACTACCTGAATTGAGAATTTCAGCTGATACTTCACATTTTACCTATAATAACAAGCAGGGCCATCGATCTGCTATTCGAATTTCGAGGATTTTATCGGAGACATTGAGGTTGGGAAAAGAGAATGTGCGGTGGTTTGTGATGGGTGATGATGATACTGTATTCGTAACGGAGAATTTGTTGAGAATTTTAAATAAATATGATCATAATCAGTACTATTACATTGGTAGTTTGAGTGAAAGTCATTTGCAGAATATTTATTTTTCTTATAGTATGGCTTATGGTGGTGGTGGATTTGCTATAAGTTATCCTTTAGCTAAAGCTATTGATAAAATGCAAGATAGATGTATTCAAAGGTATCCAGGACTTTATGGTTCTGATGATAGAATGCAGGCCTGTATGGCGGAATTGGGGGTTCCACTTACTAAAGAACTCGGATTTCATCAGGTTCGTTTGCTTTTCTTCCTTGTATTTTTATGTTGATTTTGTCTTTCTTTATCTGTGTTATGATTATCATGCAAAGTTTTCAATGTGGGAGCTTGTTGTTCAGACTCTTCAAAAATGTTATCGCACCCATGTTTGATCATACAATGTACATTTCCTTGAAGTGTCCGAACAACATAGCTTTCTTTATCGGTGTTATGATTATCACACAAAGTTTTCAATGTGAGAGCTTGTTGTTCAGACTCTTCAAAAATGTTATCGCGCATAGGTTTGATCATACAATGTACATTTTCTTGAAGTGTCCGAACAACATAGCTTTCTTTATCGGTGTTATGATTATCACACAAAGTTTTCAATGTGAGAGCTTGTTGTTCAGACTCTTCAAAAATGTTATCGCGCATAGGTTTGATCATACAATGTACATTTTCTTGAAGAGTCCGAGCAACATAGCTTTCTTTATCGATGTTATGATTATCACACAAAGTTTTCAATGTGGGAGCTTGTTGTTCTGACTCTTCAAAAATATAATCGCGCATAGGTTTGATCATACAATGTACTTGTGAATATAGAACTTGTTGGTTTATTGAATTTGGCTGAAAATGAAAACAGGGGACTCTGTTTGATATCTGACTATGATTTGTTGTTTGGTGAATTGAAATTCAGTATGATGTATACGGGAACTTATTCGGGCTACTAGCATCACATCCGATAACACCATTGGTGTCGTTACACCATCTTGATGTCGTGGAGCCAATCTTTCCGAATGTTACTCAACTGCAGGGTTTACAGAAGCTCACAGTACCGATGAAACTCGACTCAGCTGGTATTATGCAACAATCCATTTGCTATGACAAAGTTAACAGTTGGACTATTTCAGTGTCATGGGGATTTGCAGTTCAGATATTTCGTGGAATTCTTTCTCCGCGTGAAATAGAAATGCCATCGAGGACTTTCTTAAATTGGTACAGGAGAGCGGATTATACTGCGTATGCTTTTAACACAAGGCCTGTTATGCGTAATCCATGTCAAAAGTCTTTCGTATTTTACATGTCAAGTGCTAAAATGAATTCTTACAGCAATCAAACTGTGACTCAGTATACTCGTCATCGAGTTCCTCCTCCATTATGCAGATGGAAAATGGCAAATCCTGCAGATGTTGAGAGAATTCAGGTTTATAAGAAGCCTGACCCCCAGCTATGGGATAGGGTAAGTATCTCTTATCGCGCATTTACAGTAACTTTGCATATACATAACCTATTCTTTTGATGATATCTTCATTTGGCTAAGGAAAACAGATGAATTCTTGTAAAGGGTCGAAATCTGTCGATATATTATCCAGGTTTTCGAAAGAATGTGTCTTGTTAGGAGCATTGTTAAGGCATTGGCATATACATTCATTCTATGCATGCACATGTAGACACCGCAATTCGTCTCCAATGTGTCGTTTGAACCCTCTAGACACCTCCAAAAATTATGTGACACGTCTGTAATTGGGTGCCCACAAGACAAACCGGGGACGAGTTTGAGTGATTAGTTGTCAGTGGAGACCAAGTTGAGGTGCTAGATGCATAGACATACATTCAAACTTGACCTCAGCTAGCAAGTAAACACGTCAACTTTGAATATGCACCTCTAGACACCTCAACTCGTTTCCACTGTATCAGCTGAACAACTACCAACTTACAAAATGAACCTCTACGCACCTCCAAAATTTATATGACAGACGTTCACAAGGCTGAGTGGGGACGAGTTGGAGTGATTAATTGTCAGTTGAGATAGCGTTTACATTTAATATATCTTTCTTTTATATTTAGATGGGAGTTGATTTCTACTTATAATGACTTTGTGTTACTTATTGATACACAGTCTCCAAGGAGGAATTGCTGCAGAGTGTTAAGCTCAAAGAAGAAAAGCATGGTGGTGGATGTAGGTGTATGTAGTGAAAATGAAGTTAGTGAAGTATGATGAATAATAATATGTGAACCCACCTAATTAATAGTCACCTGTATTTTTTCATTTATTGAATCTTATCTAAGAAAAATTTTCTTGGATCTTCCAAGTTCCACTTTAGGGTAAAAATTATGATCCAAGTGTAGCATAGTTTTTTAATGTAACTTTTAAATAATATTAATTCATTTCTTGGTTCCAAAAAGACCCCCTTTTTTTTCCTTTTTCTTATATTGTCTTGTTTCATTTTCCATTCTTCCTAGTTTCTGCCTCTTGTGTTTTCTTGGTAAGTTAATGTGAATGAGTGAATCTACTACAAATTATATGACGTTTATTTATGTAATATTACGTCTTATTCGTGAAGTTTTTTTTTTATTACAACATTCTCGAATTTTTTATTGCTTTTGGATACATTTCTTGATTGTCTGATACATTGCAAATGACTAGTGGCTTTGGCAAATGTATGCCAGTTTGCAATTGGACACCTTCGTCCAAAAAAAATACTGCATATACAAGTAAAATCATACATAAACTGATTAAATAACCTATTCTGGATATCCTTGACATAAGAGGTTGTTAGAGGTCGTTTGATTGAAAACGAATTATCTCAGGATAAGTTATCATGGGGTTAAGTATCTTGGGATAACTTATTCCACCACTGTGATATAAATGATGGGATAAGTTAGTACGAACATGACAATCAAACAACATAATTTTTTTCATTCTATCACTATTTATTTATCCCATCACTATTACTTTTAATTCTTCAAATCAAACGAGCCCTTATAGTCTAGTAGTTTAAGATTTCATGAATGTGGATTCAAACATCTTTAATGAGTCAGTGTTCACGTGTTCAAATCTCACTTGTAATAATTTTTTCTCCTTTTAAAAAAGAGTTTTTGTTATTTAATTTTTGAATCATTTATATAAAATTTATAGCTTTGCCGCCGCAAATTATACTTTACTTATTAACAAGAGGGATACACATGGAGGGGATCAAATTGTATTTGAGAGATTTTTTTTAAAAAAAAATAAATAATGAAACTTTTTAGAGATTATGATACTTTAATCATACATTTATATAATTTTTCCTTTTACTGTATAGTGGCCTCAAGGAGGTAACTTTGAGTTTGAAAATTATGAGTTTTTGACTTTTTGGGTGTGTCGGTGTAAAGATATATATATATATATATATATATAT